GTTAAGGTGTATAATTTAAAAATGATACGACTTTATACTTGAGTGACTTTGATGGTTAAGTAAAATGGATTAGGGAAAAGCAAGACTGGAAATACAGAAGCCGACACAATGGAAAGTCAAACAAGTACATAGATTAGTATGCAATCCCTCTTCCAGCAGATTTGGTCCCTTGGTCAACAATGACCAAGAATTCGTATGAGAACTGTGATAAGTGGTAAAAGTAGTTCACATGAACATTTGATGAGCTATGAAAAGATTGTGTAAATGGTAGATATGCATTAGGTAAATGATTTTTTTTTTTTTTTTATCGTTATTTTGCTGATAGTTGCCAAGTTGTATAAGAAATGTTAGAAAGGAAATCTCCAGTTTTCCATGACTTTAGAAGCAATACCTTTTTGATTTTGTAAAGGTCTCGGAAATTGGTTTAGATTAGAGATGTTATGGTGCCAGAAATGATAGTTTTCTCACAGCCAGCCATATAGTGCAAAATGTTGCCTGTAATGGGCATAATGACCAAATATAACTTCATGTAAGGTATTTCCTTTGCAAGTTGATAAAAAAGTTGTGCACCATGTAATATGTTGGTGTACATGTATTGGCAAAATTGTAGTGACAATCACAAGAAAGGAGAAAATATTCATTGTTACTTGAAATCTGTGCAAAAAAATTTTTTGAATGAAAAAAAAAATACGTCACGCAAATATTGGGTGGAGAGCAAGTCCATGGCAATCACATAAGGTAGAAGCAAGTTTCCATGTTAGGGAAGGTTATTTTTTTTTTTACCAAGAGTGATGTGCCCTCCAGAGTGTCCCAAAGCCAGAGTAATGTGTGAACCCAAAAATCCAAACCGAACTTGCCTACTTTATATTTATTCCGTAGTTTCCAAGTGATTGTGTATTTCCCAGGAGTAGCTGGGAGTAATTGGCATGCAGACACTTTGTAGTGTTACCAGAACTCATAACTTAGTGTAACTGATGTTTCACAGATTCACACTACAGTATGTTAATTGAAATAATGAATAATAATTGCAAGATGAATGGCTGTGGGAGACTTAAGAAAAAAAAATGCCGTGACATTAGGTTAAGGAAATCCAAGGGGAAAGTACTCATTTATGCATGAAACAATTTGGGCAAGCAAAGAAAGTAGAAAAGAAAAACAGAGCACAAGAAGTGCTGTTTGGAGTCTGTCCATGGCATCAGATGGAGGTAGAGCAGAATTTTTTCCTACAGCAATATTTATGGATCCCAGGCATGACCCCAAGGTTTTTGGGGTCATGCCTTGATAAATGGAGATTTGTGCCCATATTGTAAAAGTTGGGTACTTTTCCCTGTTCAGGAACTTTTGAGATGTATTCCTTAATGCTACTTTCCCCCATCCCATGGCCAATGACAATTTCTAGAGTTTTAGAATGTTCGTTTTTTTTTTGGGGGGGGGGGGCTAGTCCTAAGTGAAACCTTTCTAATTCTTTTATAATTGCATTGTAATTCTATCATTTATAAGTGATTACGGAATGCTCGGAAAGTTATAGTCTGCATTTATTGGATGATGGATTAAGTGCCAATTATCCAGTAAATGAGAATTTATAGAAGTGTTTAGGATGAATAATTGATCTTGTGGTGTTCATGCCTATTTGACTTTTTCCAGATTTGTACTGGAACTTTATTTTGCTCAGTAGATATTTCACAATAAGTGATGTTTGTATAATGAACCAGGAAGACCAATTTTAATATTGTAATTTTTCAAAAGAATTTTGCCAGGATTGCCATCTGCCAAGGGCAAGGCTGGTATGTTTTGGGAAGATTTAAGGGCACTTTAGTTTGGGTAGTATGGAGATCCTTGAAAGTGTTTTAATTGGTCTTGGGTGTAGTCTTTGGTAAAAATTACCAGTTCTTGGAATAAGGAAGGAATATGGACAGTGCAAGTGAGATAATAGTGCAAACTGATAAAGGTAGTAAATGACTGAGAGGGCAGTCTCTTGCGCAATGTTTAGTTTCATCCATTTCATTGGATAAAAAACAGAAGTGTAATTAGGTGTTATATGTATTTATGTTAGTGCAATGGTCTTGAAAGAACAACTTAGTTTAGAAAGTGTTGAAAAATGATTTGGGAAAATGTTTTAATGTATATGCTAGGAGAATTTTGGTTGTGGCAATTTACAAATTGATGATTTATGCAATTCACAAACTAAGGAAATGTCTTTGAACCCCACTTCACTGAAAGGTCATTGGTTGGCATCTATACTTGCCATAAAACTCCAAGCCATTTGTGGTGGGAATTACCTATTCTACTGTAGTTGTATATGCAGAAATTTACATTTTGGTTCTGTTGTTGTAATTGAAAATGTGTAACTTGGCAAAATGGCCTTTTTTTTGGATGATCATGTGGTGTAGCCATGTTTGCAGACCTGGGGGGGGGGGGTATTGCTTTCAAACTGTTGTCTGTGGCTTGAGATGGTATGTGGAGATTCCTTTTTCCATCCTCTAACCCATTTTATTGGCAAAGCATGCATTACTGGTATAAAAAATTAGTACGAGAATAGAGGTATTTAACAATTGAATTGTATTAGTAAGTGGCATTTTAGTAACAAGATTTACTGGCATTCAGTGATCGCCCTCATGCTATAAGGCAAAGCTCAGCAATCAAGCTTGAAGAGCTAAGCCAGTTGAGGCTGCTCATTCTTTAGGGATGTGCAATTTTGACTACCTAGATGTATGGTATTGTGGTTCATGAAGACCATATGGGGTTGCCAGTTTCTTGTACCTTTGATGCACCTGTTACATGTTCATGAAACCTGATTTTTTATTACTTGATGTATGATGTAGTTATTGGTCTTTGGCAGTTGTGAAATTTAGTTTATATATAGAGAGGTAGATGTTATAAAAATTGGTATACTTCGGAAAAGCTTGTATTACTATTAAATAGTGGATGTGACATAGCATGAATTTGTTAAGTCTCGAGTATTAAATCATTTTTAGTGTTTTTTTTTTTTTTTTTTTTTTTTTTTTTTTTTTTTTTTAAGTGAACTTTGTCAAACTGAAAATGAGTGAAAATGTAATTTTATTTATAATGAATAATAATTTATTTACATGCTTTTGCATACAGAGTAACTATGGTTATCGTAGTGTACCAATAAGTTTTTGTCATGAGTCGGGGTGGGGGGGGGATTGTACAAATTTTACTTGCCGTACAAGATTTACCTAATATATAGATCAGTCCTGACACATCTGTATTCGTATGAAGATTATGAAAATAGGTGATGCATAGTGCGTAAATGGTCACCACCATCTTGCAGAGCAAAAGAGAGTAACACAGGTACATCTGCTGCCTCAATTAATATTCAGTGACGAAAGTATGTCTGTGCTCCATGTTGCTCAAAAGTAGTAGTGTGTGGTGGTATTTAACCCAGTGCCAACGGGTAAAATGTTTGGCAAGTGGACGTAAGAACGGGATTGGTGGTCGCGCATAGGCAGTTTCCCATTTGTGCCTGGCTCGATCGGTAGTTTGCGAGCGACATTTAGCACCGAAAAGCTTTATATTGCTATAATTTATAAAAATATTAAGATTATGAAGGTTTACTTTCATTATAGGTGCCATTGCCTAAAATGTTTACCATATAAATGAAGTGGCTACTATCGGAGAAAAACAAACTCCGTCTGACGAGCCAGTGGCACGATGCCATCCGTGTTTGTCCACAACAGCCATGGCATGTTTCGCAATTGAAACAAGTCAGGTCTTAGACGAGGACAAGACCAGTTGAACTGCACCTTTAGGCTCTTGTTAAAGGTCTGTCCAAATCAGGCAGAGCAGCAGGCAGGAGTAGGCCAGATGTCCGCAGCAGGCAAATTACCTGATAAACTGGTGGTAGTTACTATGCTGTTGCCTGTAACCTTGCTTGCTGCTGTCTGCCAATCATGCCTGCTCCTGTGGACAGGCATGTGCCAGGATGACTTGTACCATAAATGGTTAGGGGAGGAACAGTTAGAACAGTTAAGGTGGAGGCACAGTGGTTATTGGGGTAATTTGAAAGGTGGCTGCAATATTTGCTACCGTTCACTAGCACTCCCATAGAGAAAAATCCTATTGACAGTTGTAAATACTCTTTTAGTGGAAAGTATTTAACTGGAAATTGGATACATGTTAGCTTCTTCATTAGGTGCTCATGATTTATTATTGCTATTTTAGCTTTGTGTCAATTTTTAGTGACAGACTATGTACAGTCCCTCAAAGGAAATTGGAATCGAAGTTGCCAGTGTGAATGGAATTGACATAAATTTTTCTTGTCTAAGAGTACAGATGTGTACGTTGGGCTAATGGATATTTTGTGGGGTTTAGACCAGCATAAATAACTTTGGGTTACCTCCCCCCCCAAAAAAAAAAAAAAATAAAAATAAATAATAAAAAACAATAAGTGGGCCATTTCTTGAGACCCAAAAAATAAGCAAGCAGTTCGTCTACCCAAACATCTTTTCCTTGCCTCAATCCTTGTTTACTCCTTTGCAAAATGAATTCTTGTTCCATCCTACTTTATCAAGATTATACTATGGTTGACAAACAAGCTATTGCAGTTATGGCTTGTTTGTCCTTAGTGTATATGGTGGCTGTCAAAAAAGTGGGTGAAACTTGAATAAGGCCCTAAATTGGGGCAGGGGGACTGGTAGGTTACAGGAATTGCGGATTTAAAGGGTGCAAGTAACTCGTAATTTTACAGCTAGGTTTTTGATGTCTTAAATTGTTTGATATGCTGTATAATAAATTACTTAGACTTACAATTTCTTGTATTTCAGGTTATGTTGGCTAGAAAGTGCCAGAAAAGACCAGCACCACCATGGCTGGGCCGGTCACTGAATTTGTGTGGGGTGGAACGTAGTCCAGACCCTTGGAGAGGGGCCTTGGAGAGTGAGTTCCTGTTTTATGGTATTCATGTATATTACATGACACTTTGAATGAATTAGATATCACCTTAGGAACTCTGTTTAATTTGGATCTTTTTATTCTTGCAGAGTAAAATTGCTTATCAATAAGGACACTGGGGAGGCAGTTGCCATGAAGATGGTGGACTTGGTCAAACATCCAGATGCAGCAGATGCTGTGCGGAAGGAAATATGTCTGCACCGCATGTTAAAACATACAAACATCATAAAATTTTACGGTAAGCCAATGCATTTAAAGTGGGTTTATGAAATGGTCTCAAAAACAGATTTATTTATTTTTATTTATTATTTTTTAATGAAACCAGTAATTTACTAGATATACATTTTTTAATCATTTTGTTAGTTATGGAGCAGCTGGAATTTTGCCAAATTTGGCTAATGAATTTGCATGATTCTGCAAGTGTAGTTAAAGATGACCGTGATTTTTGATTAAGGTAGTAATTGGAGGAATATTGCTTGTTTCCAGTAGTGAAAATTTACTGGAATTCATGTTACCAGAATTGAATTCAGTTGTAATAATTTTTTATCACTGGATTACCATTATTTTAGGACTTCAGATGTTAGTGTAGAGTTGGTTTAGTCTTGAGTGAAGCCACTTTTCCTATCTAGTGTGGATGTGGATAGGCCATTATTTGTATTATTTAAAGTAACTTGATAGTTTTGTGATCTAATACACAAGTACTATGAAGTTCAAATGCTGATACATTGCTTACTCCTCAGGAAGTCGCCGTGAAAATTCAATGCAATACATGTTCCTCGAGTATGCTGCAGGTGGTGAGCTATTTGATCGCATTGAGCCTGACACGGGAATGCCTCCCCACCAGGCACAGAAATATTTCAGGGAATTGATCAATGGTGTGGTAAGTGAATATACTTCATTTTTACCCTAAATTCTATAGCAATGTTAATGTCATGTCAGAGGCTTAGATTGCTGTTTTGTGTAGTTACACAAAGAACAAAGTTCGCTTTTAATTCTTCAGGTACTGCATCAGTGTTCATTACATCAGAAGCTGTCAGATGGCATTCCCCCCCCCCTTTTTTTTACTACAAGCTCCTGTATTTGTTCAACTATTAACACTAACATCCACTAACATGAATATCCTCCAAATGCATCTTGATCATTATGTAGGGCTTTGACTGAAAGAGTAATATTCCCTTTAAATTTACTTCCATTGTGTATGTTTTACATTGTACAGATAATGTATATTGTCCTCTTGCTGAGGATGAACAAAGGCTGTTGGTGCATGCAAGGTGGGTCTTTGGTATTACCAGGATGCATGTGAGAGAGATTCATGCGCCAGGTGTACCAAGGCACCTTACCTGTGCAAAAGAAGACGTTTGGAAGAAAAGGGTATTGTTACTGTAATTTTTTTCTTGTTGCTCACTCCCTGAAGGGCTTTAGTAAAGTTTCCTTTATCATGGCAGGAATACCTCCATGGACGGGGTGTTACACACCGGGATCTCAAGCCAGAGAACTTGCTGCTTGACGAGAATGACCATCTTAAAATAACCGACTTTGGAATGGCCACTCTCTTCAGACATAATGGGAAGGTAAACTTCTATCATTATTTTTCCATATCTTTTACAATGTATGAAAGTATTTGGATTGTGAAGCATGTCAAGGAAAATTTTATCAATTATTTCTATTTTTAGGAACGTGAATTGGATCGTCGTTGTGGAACAAAACCATACATGGCCCCTGAAGTATTACTGAAACCCTATAATGCTGAGCCTGCAGATATTTGGTCTTGTGGAGTGATTCTTGTTGCACTGCTAGCTGGTGGTAAGTGCCTTTTACAGTTAAGATGTAATAACTAATCAAAGCTATTGAACAGTAACAGCGATTTTGCCAAGTAAAATATTACTGAAGGAAGAGGTCTTGCATTGGAAGTAAGTGCAAATCTGTCGTAGACTTTGACTTCCATTTTCAGCCACTTTATTGATAAAACCCTTTTAATGAATATACTTTGAACATTTGATTTTGAAAATGACAAGGAAGACCCCATGAGAACCCGCTTCTGCCTCCCGTCTTGGTGATCTAGCTGTGTGAGAGATGAAAGACGTCATAAAGCTAGATTACCAAAGTCAGGGCTGAAACTCGATTCACCGTGCACCAAAAGCTGTAAGTATAGTAGGAACCATATTCAACACAGAAGACAAAAGTGTGGTGTAAAATTGAAGGAAAATCTGTAAGAGGTAGATAATGTCATTCAAGAATAGTTTGAAATCCTTATATATGAAGACCCTTAACAGTATGTTTATTTAGCTGATATTAAAGTTCTGTTCACTTATTTAAAGCTTTATAAACAGGTATGGAAAAACGAGCCTCACTTGCAGGTCTCTCGAGTGCAATTATCCATAAAGGGTTGACGGCTAAATGGAGTGATTTTGAAAATGTCCTATAGAAAAGTTAGATTGTGATAACTTTCCTTGTAGAACTTTCCTTGTAGAACGGACATGTTGACACTTTTACAAGATGCCCTACTATCCAGTTAGTAGATTTGAAAGTTTGAAAATTTAAAAATTATGTAGTGATTTTTCAACAGAAAATTGTAGTTGAAATCTTGACACGAGAAGAAGTCTCTGAATACAGGATGTATGAGTACCATTCAAAATTGCCATCATGCATGTTACTCTTGTGCGGAGTGCTAAGTTGAATGTTTGAAAGAATTACAGAATTTTAGCTTTGGGGGTAAGGTTTGAAAGGTGGCTGCAATATTGCTACCTTTCACTAGCACTCCCATATAGAAATTCCTATTGACAGTTATGAATACTCTTTTAGTGTAAAGTATTTTACTGGAAATGGGAACATGTTACCTTGTGTATTGGTGATTTTCAATTTAGGATTATTGTAGGTTGGTTTGTCTGTACTTGGAATTGGTACCACTGTTTCTGATGACATTTTCAATCTCAACAGAATTGCCATGGGATGAACCAACTTTTTCTTGTCCAGAATACACAGCCTGGAAGGACAGAGATTGTAGACTGTTCACAACCACACCTTGGACAAAGGTGGACAATCTGGCCCTCTCTCTTTTGCGCAAGGTAATGTATTAATCCATTTTCTCCAGTTTAGGTTTATTAAACTTTTGTAGAAAAGGCATGAATGAAAACTAATGTCACAGTATAAGACTGGATTCAATTAGGTTTGTCAGAAGTACTTTTGTATTTCTGAAGATGGCATGAAACTGGTTAAATATGTCTGTTGTATTTTGAAAATATTCATTATCATTCCTACTATTTCTACATGTGTAGGAAGAATAAAGCAATTGTAGTAAACTTTTAAGATCAGAATAAAATGATCTAGGATTAGTAGGTAGTATTGGAGGATATGGAAGGGACAAGTTTACTTTTTCAATGTACTAGTTCCTCATGTTTGCTTGCTACTAGTGCAGTCCTATTTTCATGATTCCAGCAATCTGTGGCAGGGCATAGACCAGTTCTTTGACACTAGCTTTATCTAGTGCTTCATTTTCAGATTTGACTTATTCCGTTACATAACAATTTCCAATAACTTTATTTATTTTTTTCCTCCAGGTATTGAATACTGTACCGAGGCATCGGGCAACAGTACCTCAGGTGAAAGCACATCAGTGGTTCACAAAGAACTACCATAAATCTTCAGGTAAGGATAAGATAGAGCTCTCGTATCAAACAAGGCTATATGAGTATATTGTAATGGAGGTAGTCTTGCATTAGTGTGCTGTCATATTGAAGGTTTGCAGGTAATACATGAATGTGCCTGCCTAGCAAATTAGCAGTAAAGGGCAGATGGGTTGCAGTTGTACAAAGGGTTTGCTTCTTTTCTTTTTTTGTAAAAGATTAAAACAATTACAAAAGTTTATACATTTCCTGGGTATGGTTTTGGAGAAGCTAAACTAATGATCATGGAAAAATTGATTGCAGCCACATTCTCTGCACTCTAGTGAAAGAGTTGCAACATCCAGGCTGTTATTTGTGTACCCAATAAGAAATCCAAATTATGAAAATGTAATAGAGAAGTGAGGGTTGAGGTGTCAGGTACTATGTGACTCTGCAGACCATTGCCGTGCAGAGTTTCCAAGTATCTGTTATCTCTTCCTCTGATTAACACAAATTTTACTCAAGTGTTCAGGCACATGTGAGTGACCTCTCATAAGAATTAGGATTGCTGCCTGTGTGCTGTAAAACCCTCTTACGTTCGCAACTGGCTAAAAGTGTGTGCAGAGTTGGATTTGGTTTGTCTGCTACTTTGCTTTGGTGGTTTAGCATTATGATGGTAGCAAGAGTCCATAAAGCTAGATTACCAAAGCATGGAGGTGGGCTTGTTCGTCGAAGCAGCAAGTAGTTCAGTTGCAGTATCTTAGTGCTGGTGTAAATTGTTTGAAGATGTACATCCGGTATTGTGACTTGAGCAAGAGACTGGGAATGGGGTGTCTTTGGTGATCTAGCTGTATGAGGGTTTAAATATCATATAGCTGGAACACCATGGGACATTACTGTTCCTGTAAGCACCGCAACTTTCATCTTATTGTAAAGGTTTCTTGTTTAGGTGTTCTATAAATTTGGCCAGAATGTAACTATTTATCTTTTTCAGGTTTTGGACGCAGTGTATCGAATGACAGCATGACCCCTACTACCAAGCGTGTGTGCAGTGAGCTTGAACGGGAAAACTCCTCATTTTGTTTGGAAGACATGTCAGCACGGTTAGCTTGTTCACAGCCAGAGGCCCCCACCTCTACTTCAATTAATCCTGTTGTAAGTAGCATTAATATTTTGGAAGGTTATTTTTACTCGTCTGATAAATTGAGGATGACATGTTTTGAAGATATTTCCCCAAATTATTTATTTTACAAAAAATTAATCCACTTAGCCATTTGGAATACTAAATTTAAAGCTTACTGATAGATAATGAATAAGGGGGGGAGAGAACAAAACCAATTGATAATGGCAAAATGTTGGTCAAGGGGATTAGGTATGTGGAAATGTCAGGGCAGAGGGTTAGGATTTGGTATGGGAAAAGCAAAACCTCTTTATGCCTGTGCCTTTGGGCTGCAAAGAAATGTTGGGAGTGACATTTGTGTGGTTTTGCTTTCGGTTTTTGGAATTGGAATGGATTTTAAGGTTAAACCTTCTCATTTCAGAATGATGGTCCTAATGTTGACATGGGTGTGTGTGAGCTTCTCCCAGCCAGCTCAACCTGACCAGCTGTTGCTCTCATCTCAACTTACTCAGAGTACACAAGCAAGTCAGACACCACTGCAGAGGCTTGTGAAACGCATGACTCGCTTGCTTGTAAGGACCAATCTGGAGGACACACTAACTCACCTGGAAGCATTGTTCAACAAGATGAACTACACTTATCGTATGCACAATGTCAATGTTGTAAGTATTGGAGGATTTTCACAATTATATCTGTAGTATGTGGTAAATTTGTCATTAGGCAAGACCATATATTTTTTCTGAACAAGCCATTTTCTGTTTACAGCTAACTGTAACCACTCTGGATCGACGTGGAGCTCAACTTGTGCTGAAAGCAAGCATACTAGATATGGGCCAGCATATTCTTGTGGATTTCAGACTTTCAAAAGGATGCGGATTGGATTTCAAGAGGCATTTTTTGCGAATTAAAGAGGGTTTATCACATATAGTAATCAAGGGCCCTGTAACTTGGAATATGGCTCTAGCAACAAATATGCTACCAGCCTAATTTGGCCCAGACTGAAATTTTGACGTCTTTCAAAATTTATATGCTGACTGTTACTCATGCTTGTGTAAGATGTAAAGTATTAGTCTTTAATGAATAAGCTATGATTTATACTCGGTTAAAGTATAAAAGTGTTTGATATCGAATGTATGATTAACTTCGAAAGGATCTGAATGTATGACTGGTGTGCATGTCATAATTTTTCCCTGTCTAGATTAAGTGTCTGGTTAACTTGAAAGGTGACCTCCCAGTAATAGTAGTTTGGCAGAATGTTCCAGCAACATTGGCTGCCTGGATAGGTAGTGAGTACCCATCTCAACAGTGTGCTGCGGTTGTAAGAGAAGTCTCGCTTTCGACCAGCCTTCTCTCTACTCTCGCAGGCAGAATTCTAGTCTTTCACTGATGGGTGCTTGCTTGCTTTTATGAAAGTAAAAAATTGTTTAATCATTCCATTTTCCAATAGAGGGAAAAAACTTTGTTAATTTGCTGTCGGTTTAAAGAAACAATTTTATTTTTATTTACAAGACTTTTATTATTCCCTTTTTTTTTTGTGACAAATATTTCAGATTTTTTCTAGTCTAGTATGAATAAAATTATTAGTGATAGTTTTTGGTTTAATAAATTTGATTGAAGGATTATGCAAACCTATATGGGATTAGAACAATGAATACCGGTCTTCTAGTTTGTGTACAGAGGGCATGTACCAAACTTTGGCCTTGTCAACATGAGGGGCAATCAATGTGCTGGCTTGGGTGAGTACTGATGGCACAAGCAGAGAAAATATGGGCAGTTTACAGAAGTGGCATTGCCCATTCCTGGGGCCAGGCAGTTCCTGCTTGGGTCTTAAGAAATTAATTGGGAGGTTGACACTCTGACGTGCCAAACCCAAAGCAGATGTTTGTGTACAGGGCCCAAGCAGAAATTTTCATTAAGTTAAGGTTTTCACCTGCTTTATTTTCATAGATATGATTAAGCCCAATTTACTATCTGCTTAGTCCAATACGAAATTTCATAGGTACATAAAACGGTTTCATCAACCATTGCTGAAGTTTCACAACTACTACTGTAGAAATTGATGTACATAACATAGTACAAAACTGGAAAAAAAAACAATCGACGATTTAAAGAAATTACGAGTTTGTAACTTTTTAAATTAAATATTTTATGGAATGATTCTGTATCCAATTAAAATTAAAAGTATACAAATTTGTAGATAAGTGAATATAGAAGGTACATAGAAATTTGTGCTTGAGGCACAAAAATTTCGAGATGCGATTGTTGCAATGAAGCAGTAAATTTATTCCAAATTACTGCATGAATAATTAAACCATGCAGTTAGTCAAGCATCAACACTTGAGCACTTGCATGAAGGTGAAGCTTACTCAGATCCTTCAACTTGAAGCAAACTCGTCTCGAATTAACCCTTGGCCTTTCCTGCTTACTGACTAATGAAGTCTCTGTACCCTGAAAAGCATGCAAAATTGAGTTAAAAAGCTCATAAGCTGTATGAATTTGAAGGTGTAATTTGCTTCATATACCCCAGTTATGCTCTCGGTGACTGTCAAGGAAAATAAAAAGTATTTTTTAGAGCTTGATTTAGTTCCTTCCCAATTTTGACTACCAAATCTCTCATCACCACCCATTACTGTACCTTATAGTGCTATATGATCTTGTATGTCTAGCACATTTATCTTGCTTTTAACCATTAACCTTTAACCACCCAATCCTTTGCCCGTTGTTGTCGTGGGGGGGTCTTAGGAGACGGAGATCTCCCCTGCCTAGGGCCTCAGCCCTCGGCTGTACTAATTTTGTGGTCTTTTCACCCCCCCCCTTTTTTTTTTTTTTTTCCTTCCCCCCCGTCCCTTCTCCAACCCCTCCTTTCTACTTCCTAAGGTGTAAGAGCCGTGCTGAAAGGATGAAAGGCTGACCGTGTTGCTAATCCTGAACGGCCTGAGGAACCATGGGCACGGCACTGCCCTAATTTAATGGTCTAGCCCTTAACCCCTACAGGGCACTGGGGGGTGGACAGTTTGTCCCTTTACATAATCGAGGCTTTCCATGGCCAGTAATGAAGATGTAATACCCCTATTAGGGGAAATGCCTACTAATGCATTACCCACCGAAGCAGAGACTCAATCTCCAGAAGACATTCCTACCCTCCCAACTTCAAATTCATCAACTCTACTCCTACAACCTTCATCAAACACCCCAACCTCCCTTGTTACTACCTTACAGCCTTATTCTCCATCTCTCCCTAATACTACCCCCCTCAACTCCCGCTTCCACACGCCCCGTCATTCTACCACCACCAACCCTACAAATATCTTACTATAGCCCAGCTAAATGTACCGATTTTTCGTGATCCCCCCCCTACTACAGCTCCTTACTCGGGCAAAACTTCTTTCAACAATGTCTCAAAAAACATGTAGGCAGAGACCCTGAAGTTATAGCAGTATCAAAACTAATCTCTCTGGCAACCCCACTCCTGCAGAACCTCATCCAACTCTTAATACTTGTATTGGAACTGTCTCTATCTCCCCAGCAAACTGCCCAGTCGATACCAAAGATTGGTCAGATTGTGAGAAGATTTTCTCGGCTGCCTCAAAGACCAGGACGTGAAACCATTACATTGCTACTCTCCATTCCTCCTAGAGGTCATCGAAAGAAACCCACCAACATTGCCAAAATTACTTTCAATACACATCACCTTCCCATTCGTATCTACATTGGTGGACAATCCCTCTCCCTGTTCAACCATACCAACTTCCCCGTTAATGTCAAAATTGTTGGCGATTTGGATATCCTGCCAAACACTCGCTCCACAGACCGATGCCCCCTTTGTGCCCAACCCGGTCATTACATAACATGTGCTAAATGCGGCGGACCCCATAATGTATTTTATAGAGGCTGACCCACTTCCAAGTTCGAGTCTGAGGTTGCAGCTCTCAGATACGAAAACGGTCTCGCTCTACGTGAAGCCAGACAGGAAGCAAGCCGACAAGGTTTCTCATATACTCCCTACTCCAGTAATGTCGCTCGCTCTGCCCCTTTCTCTCCACCACAAGATGTTCCCACACCCTCCCCTATACCTACTTACTTCCCCACTTCCACTTTTACAGTCAACCTCCCCCAGCCAAATTCTTTTGCCACTAAATCCAGACACCCCAATCTCAACTACAGCCCCAACACCATCCCCTCTCCCTCCCCGCACTACCCGCAGTAGACAGACTAAACGTTCCACCCCTTCTTCCCCTACCGCACACTCACCTCCACAAACTATGGTAGACATTCAAAGCTATATGCTTGAGACACAAAATTCCATAACCCCTCTTACTCATATTCCCCCTACACCCCTTCCTCCTACTCCCTCTCAACACATCCTAACCACCGATATCCATCCTTCTGAAATCCGTCCCCCTCTTACTCATAGCACCCCTACATCCCTTCCTTCTAATCCCTCCCATGACGACACATCCCCTTCAACTCCAACTATCCGTCCTTCCGATATCCATCCTCCTACCACTAATATTCCTCCCACAGCACTTCCTCCTACTCCCTCCCTCCGTTCTAACAGACCACACCTGTCATATCTTTGCTTCTTATAACAACCTGTTCTCATTCCTCAGACGCATGAATATCCTTCACTTGATCTAATTCCCTTACCTAAACCAACATAACCCTTTCCCTCATCAACCCCCTTACCCATCCAACTTTCTAGATAGTTGACACATAGCAACTATCACCCGATGACATCACTCTTTACTATACCTTCCTATAGTGCTATATGACCTTAGATGTCTAGCACATTCATTTCGCTTTTAACCATTAACCATTCTATCTCCGTAATACTACCCCCCTCGACTCCACTCTTCCATAGGCCCCCGTCCTTTTTCATCCCCAACTCTATAAATATCTTAACTACTCTAGCCCAGCCAAATGGGACCGATTTTTCGTGATCCCCCCTACAGCTCCTTACTCAGGCAACACTTCTCTTTCAACAATGTCTCCAAAAGCAAGTAGGCACTCCTCTCTTCCTACAATGTCTCCAAAAGCCGACCAGATCATTCCCGTCTCGTTAGTTACATCTGAAACTGAAGCTATAGCATTATCATCTAACTGATCTCTCTGGCAACCCCACACACCTCCATCTACCTTTGCATTTACTCCTCAGACCAGTCTCCTCTCCCCCCTTTATAAGAAAACCTTTATCTCACAAACCTCTCCAACTCCACTGCAGAAACTATGGAAGATATTCAAAACTACATGTTCGAGACACAAAATTCCACAACTCGTGCTCCCTCCACACTTGAAGTGACTGTTGATATCCATCCTTCTCCTACTCATATTCGCCCTATCCCTTACAAATCAATTAAGATATAGCTCTCCTACATTGGAATATTCGCAGTTTCTGTTCTCACGGACCAGACCTTCGTCAAAACCTTTCTTCTCTAATCCATCCATTATCCCACTTTTGGCGTTGAGAACTTGTTCTTCCTCAGACGCATAAATATCCTTCACTTGATCTAATCCTCTTACCTAAACCCACCATAACTTATTCAGAAAGAAAAGACCATGCAAAATTGGTTGAGGGATGAGGTTCCAAGTAGGGGGAAATCAGCATGAGCCCCCCTTCCCCCACGACAAGGGGCATGGGATTGGGGAGCATGAAATGTAGAAAAATGAAGAAAGTCGATTAATTTAAATGAAATAAATATTCTGTTTGGACAATCTTGCAAAGTTAGAGACCATCTCACTATTTTGTCATTTTAGTTTCTCATTTCTTCTGAGATGTACGGCTCAGACAATTGCTAAACATTCTTTCACTAGTTACAGAATTATTCCTGTCCAATCTTTCACTAGTCGCAGAATTATTCCTGTCCAAAAGCTCTCGGCTAGCAAAAACTATGCATCTTAAAACCATACAACCCAAATACTATTATGTTAGGCATCACAAGTAAAAGGTCTTCACATAATCGGGAAGGCACACGATTGACTTACAATAGAGCTTGGATTATAAATGGGGGAAAGCTAGAAGGCCAATGAAAGATCTGATTTTTTAGGTTCTGAAAGATTTATTCGAGCTTGATTTCTTGGTTTCCAACTTCATAATTTTATTGTATCTAAAGAAGCATTTATTTATATCAGCTTTTAAGATGTGTAACTATAATTTATTCAGCAAATACCAATTAGAATTATAGATCAATGTTGCCAAAAACAACAATCCATTCTTTAACTCCCACATATCCTTCGCCATCAGTAAAAATGTAGTATATGCTGTTTTAAGCATTTGGCATCAATTACAAAATAACGTCCTTTAATGGTTGAAAAAGATGTATCCGTCAGATTCTGAAACAAGAGCTTACCAATGCCTTAGTTCAAGAACAGCAAGGTAGTGACAAAAACTGCCTAAAGCTTCAGTTTGGGCCTGGGATCGCAGTCAGAAATCGCAATGTCATTTCGTTTCCTGAAATCGATACAGAAGCTGTACGTTTGGTCCCACTTCCTAACAGTTGCGACAGGTGAACGACGAGGTGATGCAGATGGTCGTAGTATGCCCAACTCAAGCACCTTCTCCATTTCCTTGTTAAAGGACGTCAACGGGATGATGGGATATGGGGATAACTTTCTACACAGGCTCGATTGTCCCAAGCTGGCTTACATGTACTATATGCGGTATGACCTGGCTTGTCGGTGGGAACCTCAGGGTAGTTAAGAACAAGATATTTGGCGTCGTGCGTCGTCGCGTTGTTGTCCCCTAAGATCACTTCCTACCTTGAAAGAATCACCATTTGATTCCAGGTACAGAGCTTCACTTACATAGCCATTGCCTTTTCATCCATTAAGTACATTTACAATTGGGCTCTTCAAAGGTGATTCAACGGAAATGAAGTCTCATCAAATGGATGCGGAATACCTTA